TTGACATAGATCCAGACACTGTTTCCCCGCCACACACTGGCCCACTGTTCTGTGCTAAAACGCTGTCACTGCCACAAATGCTGTCCTCCCTGTGGGCACATTTATTTCACCTCCCTCCTGTTTGCTCTGAGAGCCTCCTCACTCTGCTAGACAGCAAAGATTTCTTTGAGCACGGAAGCTGTACCTGACCCTGACCACACATGGGGACTACTGAGGCACAGCACCTGTACCCTGCTTCAGGAACTCACAGCCAAGGCCAGGAACTTACAGCATCTGCTGGATCTTTCAACACTCCATGTGAACATGAGAAGGGTGACACTAATTCTGGGAACCACCACTCAGAAGCAACAACAGGTCCCTGCGCATGTGCAAGCCTCATGGTGTCACCTGCAGAGTGGGATATCACAAGGATCACTGCACTGGGCTGAAAAGTGCCCTCCAGAGGGGGAGCTCCAACTACACCTACATCTGGACACTGCCACAAAATGTTTAAGGAAAGGACAGCCCATCCCTGGATTCCTAAATTATCCACATCACTCCTGAGCCAGGATCCAACAGAGAAAGGACCTGAAGTCCCAAAATAACCCCACAGTTGCCACTGTGACTCCCTGGCCACCTCCAGACAGGACAAGGAATGGCCACATGTGCAGGACATTTGATTGCCTGGCAGATGCACACGGAACTCCCCTCAGAGCTTTGCATGACCAGGGCAGCTCAGGAGTGAGGCCAGGACCCCACAGTCTACAGTGGGGACATCAGCCCAGATGGTGGGATCAGTAGGAGAAGAATTCTCTGCACTGGGACTGGGTCTGCAGGGCCCACCCCTCCTCTCTCTGTGTCCCTTGGGGTTGAGCCCTTCTCTGGAAACTACAAAGCTCTTCCAGCAGTAGCCCCCAACTCTGCTGATTTAAACCATGGGTTGCTCTCTCCAGTAACGGGATAAGAGAGGTCTTGGAGGAACCTGCCCAGCCTGGGCCTCAGGAAGCAGCATCAAGGGTGCCTCAGCCATGGCCTGGATCCCTCTCCTCCTTGGCCTCCTTGCTCACTGCACAGGTGCTGCCTCCAGGGTCCCAGCCAGCTGCCAAGCCCCGGGGCTCTGGGTCCAGCCTGGCCCTGACTCTGAGCTCAGCAGGGCCCTGCCTGTGGTGGGCAGGATGTTCATGACCCTGCTGCAGAGGGAGGAGCTGGTGAGGCTGAAATCCCCCCACACTGTGCTCTCCTGCGCTCACACTGCCCTAAGGGCTCTGTCATCCTGGAGCTGTGTCCAGGCCAGGCACGTGGGAAATTTTCTTGGAGGTCAGCTCCTCAGTTTCAAGCCTTTTCTCTTCCATTTTCTCTTCTTGTAGCTTCTGTGGCCTCCTATGAGCTGACTCAGCTGCCCTCAATGCCAGTGTCCCTGGGACAGCCAGCCAGGATCACCTGCTCTGGAGATAAACTGGGGAATAAATATACTTTCTGGTATTAGCAGAAGCCAGGCCAGGCCGCTGAGCTTGTCATCTACAGTGATAGCCACTGGCCCTCAGGGATCACTGAGTGATTCTCTGGCTCCAATTTGGAGAGCACGGCCACATTGACCATCAGCGGGGTTGAGACTGGGGATGAGGCTATTACTGTACTGCAGACCATGGCGGTGGGAGCAGCTCACAGTGACTCCCAGTGACACAGACAGATGAAGACATGAGACAGAAACCTCTCTCCCAACCTGGCTGTCACTCTCAGGCTGCTCCCTGAGCAGTGACCATGACTTTCATCTCAAGTGAGGCTGCCTATTTCTTCTGCAACCCAAACAACAGGGACTCCTGTCAAATTTCCATTTGTATCATGGTTTTCACAAAGAATTCGTTTCAAACCCAAACATCTTGCCACGTGAAATCCAAACCTCTGCAGAGACCAACCTGCCGGTTCAGGATGTGGAAAATATCTCTGGAGAGCTTGGTTCCTGCACCGGGGACCAACAGGCTTTCCTATCCCTTTCAACCCAGAGTGTGGCAGGCGCGCCCCCTACAGGCAGCTGGAAGAGCCCACAGGGAGATGCTGTCTCCATAGGAAGGGACCCTGAGTATTTGGGCTGAGGATTTTCCCATGCCCTCCCCTGGCAGGCTGGTCCCAAGACACCCAGATGTTATCGTTACAAGTCCAGGGCCTCCGTGATCCTTTTCTCTCGCCTTCCCAAGTGACCTTGGGATTGTCACACCCCCTCTCAGCCTCTTCCCTTCTCTGTCAAGTGCATTTTGCAGACTGCATGCTCCCTGGTCCTAAATAAATTTCAGAGAAAGAAATGCTGGTCACCCACATGGAATCCCAGACAGCTGGCTTAGGGCCAGAGGCACAGGCAGCAGTGCAGGTCCCCACAGAGCTGCATGGTAGGCACTGGGTGGAGGGGAGGAACCAGGAACCACTCCCCAGAGTGTCTTCAGCCCCAGTTGAACTAAGAAGAGGTCAACGGGCTGGCCTTAATCCACCTGAGCTGCCTCCGTTTCTGGCCCAGCAGCATCATCCCGGAGGCCCCTATATGTGCTAGGCATTCTCCAAAGAACTTGACTAATTACGTGGAAATTTCCTGTCACCACACCTGACTACATATGACTCGCCCCCAAATTGCTCATTTGTTAAAATAGCACAGTGAGCCTACACTGGCTTGAATCTGGAACCTCTTTGAGATTTGCCACTGCCCTTTCAGATCCTCACATGCACCAGACACTTCCCACAGGGCTGTGACTCCACCGTTTCCCACACAGCTCCGGGAACTCACTCCTACTTTGAAACCTGACAGCAGCTTCAGAGACACCTCCCAGTGAAAGTATCCCCAAGATCGTATTCTAGTATGGCCTGCTTGTCATTTTCTGCCTAAAACTTTTTAATTATCAGCAAAACATTTACAACTATAGAGTTCTTTGCCTACTGTTATTTTCTTAATTGTGTTAAGAAAGTAATTTGTGTTATTTTCCTAATTGTCAAAAATGCTTTTAAACCACACGAACACACACATGAAAAATGGGCACAAACAGCTAGAGGCATATTTCCTCCTGCAATAACACGCATCACTGCCGTGAACACACTGGGGTCTCTTTCTATTCCACTATCCCTATAATGTCGGCTTTCTTGTCATCCTTGCTGTTGTAAGACCTCAGGGTGGCTGCTGCAGCTCCAGCTATCACACCTGTATTCAAGAGGAAAAGGGCCACACAAATCTGTTGTGTTCCTCCCCTTCACAACAAAAACTTCCTAAGAACCACCCTACCCACTGAATCTCACAACCCATTTGACCAGTCCTTGGCCACAAGGTCAATTCCAGCTAAAAAGGACCTGGCACCGGTGTTTTCAGTGAATATACAGGACAATGCTGAGGTGGAAGGTGGCAGGGACTATCTGCTGGGTCTGTAAACCCTGTGTTTACTGTACGGTGGAGCCAACATGATGAACAACTCACTTCAAGAATGGTGTGTCTTGTTCCTGCTGAGTTCCCAGCATGCAACGTACCCCAGACCAGAGTGGGTCTGGATAAACATTTGTTGTGGTTCATGCTGTTTTGTCTCTGACATTGATGCAGCAGCCACCACAGCACGTTGGCCCTGCATCCACAGCTGGCACCAGTAAAAGCCAATCCCTAAGTCCTGTGACTCACATCTTCCATCCCAAGCCTTGTATTTCCTCCATAATCACCCATCACCCAGAGACATGTGCAGGCAACCACAGGTGGACCTGCCTCCTCCTCGGTTAAACAGTCATGTTTATATTATCATGGGTAAGGTGAGACCCTTGTACCTGGTCTTCAGACAGTCAAGGGTGACACAGCAAAGGGGAATTCTTTGCTGGAAAAACCCTGGGGTCAGCAGTCCACAGATCAGAGAATCGGGGGCCTGAGCAGCTGGTTCTGAATCCACACCTGGACCAAGGAGGCCCCTGAGCCTCCAGCTGCCAATGCGGAGCAGCCACAAGGGTGAGGCAGAGAGCCACCTGGCAAAGCCACCTGGGGTTGGGGTAGGCCTGCGTGACAAGGAGATGCTGACAGGCAGGGAGGGTCAGTGACCATCAGCTGACACACAGAGGGAAAGATAGCATTTTTTCCACTAAGGTACAAGTTCTCCAAACCTTGTGTTTCTCAGCTCCATCTCTTGTCGATGTCGCATATTTGACACAGGTGTAGATACTTTGCCGCCCCCCACACCCGTTGGGCCACTCTTCTGTGCTAAATGCTGTCACTGCCACGGAGCTCACCTTTGGTTTTGTGTCTTTCACCTCCCTCCTATTTCCTCTCAGAGCCCCCTCATTCTGCTAGACGGCAAAGATTTCTTTCAGCACCGAAGCTGTACAGCACCGAAACTTACAGCATCTGCTGGATCTCGCAACACTCCATGTGCACACGCCACGGGTGAAGTTTCTCCTGCCAATCACCACTCAGAAGCAACGGCAGGTCCCTGCACGTGTGCCTGCCGTGTGGTGTCACCTGTAGAGTGGGGTGGCAGGGTCACTGCACTGCATTCAAAAGTGCCCTCCAGAAGGGAAGCTAGACCTACACCTAACATCTAGACTCTGCCACAAAACATTTAAGGATAGCACTTTCCTGGAGTCCCTAAACACCCACACTACTCCTGAGCCAGGTGCCAACAGAGAGAGGACCTGAGGTCCCAGAACAATCCTTCAGTTGCTATTTGACTCTCTGGCCACCTCCAGGCAAGATAAGGCATGACCACAGGGGCATGACATCAGATACCCTGGAAAACGCACACAGAATTCCCCTCAGAGCTCTGCATGGCCAGGCCAGCTCAAAAGTGAGGCCGGCACACCATAGCCTACAGCGGAGATGTCAGCCCAGACTATGGGGCCAGCAAGAGAAAGAGAATCCCATGGGCTGAGGGTGGGTCTTACTGAGCCACCGCAACCTCTCTGTGTTCCTTGGTGCTGAGCCCTCCTGGAAACCACAAAGCTTCTCCAGCAGCAGCCCCTGACTCTGCTGATTTGCATAATGGGCCGCTCTCTCCAGCAAGGGGATAAGAGAGGCCTGAGAGGAACCTGCCCATCCTGGCTTCAGAAGCAGCATCTGGGACATGTCAGCCATGGCCTGGACGCCTCTCCTCCTCAGCCTCCTCGCTCACTGCACAGGTGCTGCTCCTAGGGTCCCTGCCACCTACCCAGCCCCAGGGTTCTGGGTCCAGCCTGGCTCTAACTCTGAGCTCAGGAGGGTCCTGCCTGTCCTGCTGCAGGGCGAGGGGCTGGTGGGGCTGAAATCCACCCCCTCACACACTACCCTCTCTGGCTTGGGTATGCCTGACAGGCTGCACCTGCCATGAGCAAGGGGGAATGCAGGCAGAATTTCCCTGTAGACTGGGACATCCTCTCCTTACTCCTGAGCTGGCCTGGCCATGCAGAGCTCTGGGGAATTCTGTCTTCCATTTTCCCATTTGTTCAAAGTCCCCATCCTTACATGCACATGAACCATGGGGGCTGAGATCAATGGGATGGAGTGAACTGTGGGCCCACAGAGTATCTGGACTTGATTCCAGGTACAAAAGGTAAGGAAATGTCTTAGAACTTGGTTTTCGTTCTCAAGCCCACCTGTCTTTTCTCTTCTTGCAGGCTCTGTGGCCTCCTATGAGCTGACTCAGTCACCCTCAGTGTCAGTGTCCCCAGGACAGCCAGCCAGCATCACCTGCTCTGGAGATAAATTTGGGAATGCATATGCTTACTGGTACCAGCAGAAGCCAGGCCAGGTCCCTGTACTGGTCATCTATAAAAATAGCAACCGGCCCTCAGGGATCCCTGAGCGATTCTCTGGCTCCAACTCGGGGAACACGGCCACCCTGACCATCAGCGGGGTCGAGGCTGGGGATGAGGCCGACTATTACTGTGCTACAAGCTATGGCAGTGGGAGCAGCTGGCAGTGACTCACAGTAACACGAACAGATGGAGACATGGGACAGAAACCTCAGCCTTAACCTGATGTCACTCTCAGCCGCCCTCTGAGCGATGACCGTGACCTTCATTTCAACTGACTCTGCCTGTTTCTCCTGCAGTCCAAACAACAGAAAATTAGTGCCAGATTTTTATTTTTATCGTGGTTTCCACAAAGTATTCATTTCAAACCCTAACATCTTGCCACTTGAAATCTAAGCCTCTGCAGAGACCAGCGGGCAGTTTCAGAGGATGGAAAATGTCTCTAGAGAGCTTGGCTCCTGCATTGGTGACCCTCCCTTTCAACCCAGAGTGTGGGTCTTTCCCCTCCCTTTCAACCCAGAGTGTGGCAGGCGCGCCCCCTACAGGCAGCTGAAAGAGCTGGCAGGGAGAAGGGCTCTCCTTAGGGACCCTGACAATTTGGGCTGAGGATTTTCCCTCCCCTAGCAGGCTGGACCCAAGAGATGTTATTGTTACAGGTCCAGGGCCTCTGTGGTCCTCCCTTTTCTCTCCTCCCCAAATGATCATGTGATTATCACTTTCCCTCTCAGTTCCTTTCCTTCTCTGTCAAGTGCACTTCGCAGATTCTGTGCTCCCAGGTCCTAGATCTGTAGAATTTCAAGGAAAGCAGTGCTGCTCACCCACATGGAATCCCAGACAGCTGACCAAGGACTAGAGGCACAGGCAGCAGTGTGGGTCCCCACAGAGCTGCATGGTGGGCACCGGGTAGACTGGAGGAACCAGGATCTTCAGCCCCAAGTGAACTAGGGAGGGATCAGCAGGCTGGGCTTAACCCACCAGGGCCTCCCCTGTCCCTGTCCCAGCAGCATTGTCTTAGAATTTTCTTTATGTGCTAAGCTACCACCAAAGAACCTGTCTAATTACCTGGAAATTTCCTCTCATCACACATAACTACACATGACTCCTGCCCCAAATTACTCCTTTATTAAAATAGCTAAAAGAGCTTAAACTGACTTGAATCTGGGACCCCTTTCAGGTTTGCTGAGTACTCTGGGATCCTCACACACACCAGAGCCTTCCCACAGGAGCCCGACTCTGTCATTCCCCCCACAGCTTCCGGGACTCGTTTCTTCTGTCAGTCCTGATAGCAGTTCCAGAGACACCTTGCAATTTAGGTGTCTCCAGGCTCTTATTATAATACAGACAGCCTGTCATTTTCTGCCTAATTCCTTTTCGTTGTCTGCATAGTGTTTACAATTGTAGGATTATTTGCCTGTCATTATTTTATTAATTGATTGACTTGTGTTCATTAGTTTTCTACTTGATCAGGAATGTGTTTATACCACAAAGGCACATATATGAAAAACTGAGGCACAAACAGCTAAGGGCGTATTTCTCCCTGCAACAATACCCGCCAATTACATTAAAATACTGGGTCTTTCTCATTCTCTATTCCACCATCCCTGTTACGTTGGTGATGTTTTCATCCTTGCTGATGGAAGACCTAGCTGCTCCAGCTCCAGCTATCACACCTATAGCCAAAAGGAAAAGGGCCTCATGAATCCAATGGGTTTCTTTTCTTTACAAAAATTTCCTAAGAAACACCTCACCCATTGACTCTCACATTCCATTGAGCAGGCCTGAGCCACATGGTCAATTCTGGCTGAAAAGGACCTGGGAATCACAGGCACCGGTGTTTCCAGCGAATATACAAGACAGTGCTCAGGTGGAAGGTGGCAGGTACTGTCTGCTGGGTCTGTAAACCCAGTGTTTACTGAACAGCCGAACCCACATGATGAGCAACTCACTTCAAGAAGGCAGTGTCTTCTTCCTGCCGAATTCCCAGCATGAACCATGTCCCAGACCAGAGTGGGTCTGGATAAACAATTGTTGGGTTCATGTTCTTTTGTCTCTAAGCATTAGTGCAGCAGCCACCACTGCACAATGGCCCTGCATCCACAGCCGGCACCAGTAACAGCCAGTCCCTAAGTCCTGTGACCTGCATCTTCGGTCCCAAGCCCTGGTATTACCCCCAAAATCACAGAGACATGTGCAGGCAGCCTCAAGTATACCTGCCTCCTCTTCTTCCAAATAGTCATGTTTCTACTGTCATGGGCAATCTGCACCCCTTGCACCTGGTACTGAGGCAGGCAGGGGCCACACAGAGAAGAGGAATTTCTCCCCTGGGGCTGGCAGTCCCAAGGGGAGAATGAGGGAATCAAGGACCTGAGCAGCAGGTTCTGATTCTATACATGGACCCAGGAGAGGCAGAACAGAGTCACGTCGGGATGGGGTGGAGCTGGGTGACAAGGGGATGCTGACATGCAGGGAGAGTCAGCGACCAACACCTAAGACCTGGAAAGAAAGGTGTCACTTTCTACAGCATCGTCCTTAACACTGAGGTACAAATTCTCCAGGCTTTTTGTTTCTCAGCTACGTCTCTGGCCGATGTTGCATGTGTGACACAGATGCAGACACTTTACTTCCTCCCACACACTGGCCCACTCTTCTGGGCTGAAACGCTGTCACTGCCACAAATGCCGTCCTCCCTCGTGGTCACGTGCGTTTCATATCCCTCCCATATGCTCTGAGAGCCTTTCTATTCTGCTACACAGCAAACACTTCTTTCAGCATCCAAGCTGTACCTGACCCTGACCACACTGGGGATACTGAGGCACAGCACCTGTGCCCTATGCCAAGAGCTCACAGCCAAGGCCAGAACGCACAGCATCTGCTGGATCTTTCAACACTCTGTGTGCAGATGACAAGGGTGACGTTTTTTCTAGGAACCACCACTCACAGGCAATGGCAGGTCCCTGCACATCTGCAAGCCCCATGGTGTCACCTGTAGAGTGGGGTCACTAGGGCCACTGCATTGGCTCGAAAGGTACTCTCTAGAGGGGGAACTAGAACTATATCATCTGGACTCTGCAACAACTATTTAAGGACAGGACACTCCTGGAGTCCTAGATTACCCACATCACCCCTGAGCCAGGATCCAACAGCGGAAGAACCTGAGGATAATTCCACAGTGGCCATGTGACTCCCTGGCCACCTCTGGGCAGGACAAGGAATGACCGACCACATGGGCAGGACATCAGATTCTCTGGAAAATCCCCTCAGAAATCCCCTCAGAGCTCTGCATGGCCAGACCAGCTCAGGAGTGAGGCCAGGACACAGCCCGCAGTAAAGATTTCAGCCCACACTATGAGACCAGCAGGAGAAGGAGAATTCTGTAGGCTGAGGGTGGGTATGCAGGGTCCACCCCTCCCCTCTCTGCGCCCCTTGATGCTGAGCACTTCTCTGGAAACCATAACACTCCTGGAGGCCCCTATATGTGCTAAGCAACTGACAAAGAATCTGATTAATTACCTGGAAATTTCCCCTCACCACACCTGACTACACATGACTCCTGCTCCCAAAGTACCAATTTGTTAAAATGGCACAATAGGCCTAAATCCGGGACCCCTTTCAGGTTTGCCGCTGTCCTCTCAGGTTCTCACACACACCAGACTCTTTCCACAGCGGCCTGACTCCACGATTCCCCACACAGATCCCGGGACTCGTTTTTCTCTATCAGTCCTGACAGCAGTTCCAGAGACACTTCCCCATTAAGGTGTCCCCAAGCTCTTATTATAATACGACCTGCCTGTTATTTTCTGCCTAAATCTTTTTAATTATCCCCATAGGATTTACAACTGTAGGAATCTTTGCCTATTATTAATTTTATTAACTGATTTGTGTTAGTTATTTACTTAATTGGTCATGGATGCTTTTTTACCACAAAATCACACATTAAAAACAGAGGCACAAACAGCTAAGGGCGTATTTCTCTCTGCAATACCCACCACCTTCACGAAGACACCAGAGTCCTCCCCACTTTTTGTTCCACCACCCCTATGATGTCGGCTTTGTTTTCATCCTTGCTGATGTGTGACCTCAGGGTGGCTGCTGCAGCTCCAGCTATCGCTCCCATATTCAAGGGGAAAAGGGCCTCATGAACCCAGTGCTCTTTCGCAAGAGCAAAGCTTTCCTAAGAAGAATTTCACCCACTGACCTCACATCTCACTGATCAGGCCTGAGCCACATGGTCAATGCCAGCTGAGCAGGACCTGGGAATCACAGGCACTGGTCTTTTCAGTGAATATAAAAGACAATGCTCAGGTGGAAGGTGACAGGGACTGTCTGCTGGGTCTGCAAACCCAGTTTTCCTGCACGGCCAAACCAGCACAATTAACAGCTCACTTCAAGAAGGCCGTGTCTTGTCCCTGCTGAATTCCCGCATGCAATGTGTCCCAGACTACAGTGGGTCTGGATAAACATTTGTTGGGTGGATGTTCTGTCTCTGACTTTGGTGCAGGAGTCACCACTGTACACTGGCCCTGCATCCAGAGCAGGCACCAGTAAAAGCTAGTCCCTCAGTCCTGTGATCCCCACCCTCTGTGCCAAGCCCTGGTATTACCTCCATAACCACCCACCATCCAGAGACATGTGCAGACAGCCTCAGGTGGACCTTTCCCTCCTCTTCCAAATATTCATGTTCATATTGTCATGGGTAACCTGCACCCCTCGCACCTGGTATTGAGGCAGGTATGGGTCACAGAAGAGAAAAACGTCCTCCACTGGCACCAGCAGTTCACAGACCTGATTCCACAGCAGATCTGATTATACACCTAGACTCAGGAGGCCCTTAAGCCTCCAGCAGCCAGTGTGGAGCAGCCACCAGGGGACAGAACAGAGTCACCTGGCAAAGCCACCTGGAGATGGGGTGGACCTGGGTGACAAGGAGATGCGGACATGCAGGGAGGGTCAGTGACCACAACCTCAGACTAGAAAGAAAGCTGTCATTTTCTACAGCATTGTCCTCAACACTGAGGTACAAATTCTCCAGGCTTGGTGTTTCTCAGCTCTGTCTCCGGCCGATGTTGTATATTTGAGACAGGTGCACCACTTTGCTTCCCCCCACACACTGGCCCACTCTTCTGTGCTAAAACGCTGTCAGTGCCACAAACGCCATCCTACCCCCGTGGGCACATGTGTTTCATCTCCCTCCTGTTTGCTCTGAGAGCCTCCTCATTCTGCTACACAGCAAACACTCTTTCAGCATCTAAGCTATACCCGACCCTGACCACACACTGGGGATACTGAGGCACAGCACCTGTGCCCTATGCCAGAAGCTCACAGCCAAGGCCAGGAACTTACAGCAACTCCTGGGTCTTTCAACACTCCATGTGCATATGACAAGGATGATGTCTGATTGTGGGAAGGACCTCTCAGAAGCAATGGCAGGTCCCTGCACATGTGCAAGCCTTATGGTGTCACCTGTAGAGTGGGGTCACGAGGGTCACTGCACTGGGTTGAAAAGTGCCCTTCAGAGGGGGAGCTAGAGCTACACCTGACATGTGGACTTTGCCACAAAATATTTAAGGACAGGACACCCCTGGAGTCCTAAATTGCCCAAGTTACTCTGAGCTAGTATCCAACACAGGAAGGACCTTAGGTCTCAGAGTAATCCCTCAGTCACCACTGTAAGTCAGTCCCTGGACATCTCCATGCAGGACAAGGAATGGCCACAGGGGCAGCACATCATACAACCTGGAAAACGCACACAGAATTCCTGTCAGAGCTCTGCATGGCCAGATCAGCTCAGGAGTGAAGCCACAACACAGCCTACAGTGGTGATGTCAACCCAGATGTTGGGACCAGAAGGAGAATGAGAATTCTGTGTGCTGAGGGTGGGCCTTCAGGGTGCCCCCCCTCCTCTGTGTCCCTTGGGGCTGAGTTCTTCTCTGGAAACCACACAGCTCCTCCTGCAGCAACCCCTGACTGCTGATTTGCAACACAGGCCACTCTCTCCAGCAAGGGGACAAGAGAGGCCTGGAAGAATCTGCCCAGCCTGGGCCTCGGGAAGCAGCATCGGAGGTGCCTCAGTCATGGCCTGGACCCCTCTCCTCCTCGCTCACTGCACAGGTGCTGCCCCCTCGGGTCCCAGCCACTGGTCCGGTCTCAGGGC